CAAAGAAGAGTAAGGTTTCCCCCATCCTCCAACATCTTACTATCTATTGGGGGACACCTCCACAGAGATGGTTTGGTTTTGTGTAGCTCCGCTGGCTGCAGCAGCATGAGGACCTCACTGCGCTTGGAGTGGCGGTGTTTTTGTGGAGTGTAAAGTTGTCTCATCTCTGCATAGGCGAACAAACAGGAGTCAGTGAACAATGACTGCAGATCAGAGTAGTGACTCCAAGTTGTTAGCATGACTTGAACAGAATCGTGTGAGTGCAGAGTGGAGAAGGGAACCTAGTCATTGAGCCCATTAGGCTGGGTAACAGGTATCCGGGTCTAGAGTTAAACTCCAATCCACCTGAAAAACCTCGTTTTGATGCGTATAGTGGAGATGAATCTGACGAAGGGTGGAGAAAGTGGCTCGAGTAGTAGTTGATGAGCTGTTGCCGTGACCTCTGTAAGAAATAAGGGTGGACCCATGATTAGCAGTATTTAAGTAAATACTAAGTATGATTGCTTTATCTTACAGTAAAAGTGTGTTTAGTGTTTGGAGGAACTGCCACATTATGTTTGAAGTGGTCGTATCGTTTCACATTCTCACCAGCAACATGAGGGTTTCTATTGCTCTACATCCTTTCCAGAATTTTTTGTTTTGGATTTTACCCATTCTCATCGGTGTGTGGTGGTATCTCAGTGCTCAGTCACCGTGATTTTGAGCATCTTTTTAAAAAAAAAAAACCAGTTCTGTAAAACATATATTTATTTATTTTGGCTGCACTGGGTCTCTGTCGCTGCACCCTTCTTTCTTTAGCTGTGGCAGGCGGGGGCTCCTTTCCAGTGGTGGGCTCTCAGCGTGGTGGGTCGTCTTGCTGTGGAACGTGGGCTCTGGAGCACGGACTCAGTAGTTGTGCTGCAAGACTTAATTGTCCTGTGGCGCGCGGGATCTCACCTGACCAGGGGTCAAACCTGTGTCCCCTGCGTTGACAGCTGAACTCTTAATTGCTGGGCCACCACGGAAGTCCTTGAATGTCTTGTAATACGCTTTTTTGCTGACTGTATGTCTTGTTTGATGAGGTGCTTGTTCAGATCTTTTGCCCAGTTTAACTTTTTTAAATTATTAGTTTTAAGAGCTTTAGGGTATTCTGCATATCAGTCCTTTATCAGATATGTGTTCTGTACAGATTCTCAGCTAGTCTGTGGCTTATCTTTAGTCTCTTAGCAGTTTCTTTTGCAGAACAGAAATTTTTAGTTTAAATGGAGTCCAGCATACCCAGTTCTTTTTGTTGTGGGTGATGCTTTTGGGGTTAGACCCAAGAAATTATCGCCAAACCTAGGATCACCTAATTTTATCCTGTGTTATTTTCTGTGAGTTTTACAATTTTGTGTTTTGTATTTATGTCTGTGATCCATAGTTAAAGACTGGCCCTTCTTCATTGCTTTTGCTGTGAGATGAAGTGTAGTGGCCTCTATAATCGCCAGTGAATATTTTTTTGGCCAGTCTCTGAATGTGTGATGGTGTCTCTTTGCGGTTTGTTCCTTTAAGTTTTAAAATGTAATTAACTTTGGGTATAGCTTTTTACTTAAGGACAGTAATAAAAATTTTAATGCTTTCCATTTGCCTATGATGCTCATATTGCTGGGGTGAATCTCAAAATCCACCCCACCCATGTATGTTTTCACATTCTGAGAATTTTCACTTCTAATTTTGATTTAAAAACAGAACGAAATCTCCATCTAAAAATATAGCAGTACCTTATATGTTAGTGATGGTCTCATTTCATGATCTTGAAACAACTTGCTTCAATAGTTATAGTCTAAGCCACCTTTGGGAACTTGCTTTTTTTATTCTTAAGTGATGAATGCCTTTGCCAACCATGTTAAAGGATGATGTGAACTGTGTTTTGTAAGATGATGCCTTTCCTTTTTTTGACTGGTTGCATTCTTTGAGATGTTTCATTTGCTTCTTTTTGCTCATCCCTTTCTCCCCCCAGACTTGGTTTAATCTTTGTGGTTAACGACTCTGAAGATGTTGATGGGATGCAAGATGCTGGAGTGGCTATTCTGAGAGCGTATAACTATGTTGCACAAGAAGTGGATGATTATCATGCCTTCCAAATTCTGACACATGTATGTTTTTGTTCAAAATGGTGAATAATTTCTAAAAATCTAACTTACTCTCAGAAACAGTATGTGGTAAGGGGATTCTGTATTTCTGGAAAGAGAACAAGGTAAATTATTCACAAACCTTATGCATTTTATATGTTAGGAGTTGCCTTTATTGATACACTAATATTAATAAATGTTAATAATAGATTGAGATTTCAGCTAAGATTCCTTAGATACTAATTCCTTAGATACTAAATACATTAATATATCTTAGTCTTCTGCCTTTTGGCAATTTGAAATCACTGATTAATGCCTTTTGGTAACTGTGATGTTCTCTACTTGTTTAAAAAACTTTACTGTTTTTCCTTTTAAGACCATCATGATATTTTCATTAGGAATCCATTTAATATTCAAGTCATAAAATTCTTATTATCTGTTTTCTCTATTTTTAACTGGAAACTCTGAAATGTTCTGAATTATATTTATGTATTTTGAGATACTTGCTCAAGTTCAAACAGAGAACTCTCCTTGTTTTTTTTTCTTTCTATTTTTGAGTATTAAAAGTTTATAAGTAGTAGTTTTGTTTACAGATTAGTGTTAATTATTTAAAAGCTATTTTAAAGCTGTTGATTTTCACCACTTCTATTTTACCTGTAATCATGGTGGCAGCCTGCTGTTTATTATGCTTGTTTTGTTTATTGTTTAGAGATTCAGTCAGGGGCTTTTTTTTTTTTTTTATTAATTGAAGTGTTCCTTTATTTATTTGGCCAAGCTTTATTAAAGATGCACCCTTTACAAAGAAGAGTAAGGTTTCCCCCATCCTCCAACATCTTACTATCTATTGGGGGACACCTCCACAGAGATGGTTTGGTTTTGTGTAGCTCCGCTGGCTGCAGCAGCATGAGGACCTCACTGCGCTTGGAGTGGCGGTGTTTTTGTGGAGTGTAAAGTTGTCTCATCTCTGCATAGGCGAACAAACAGGAGTCAGTGAACAATGACTGCAGATCAGAGTAGTGACTCCAAGTTGTTAGCATGACTTGAACAGAATCGTGTGAGTGCAGAGTGGAGAAAGGAACCTAGTCATTGAGCCCATTAGGCTGGGTAACAGGTGTCCGGGTCTAGAGTTAGACTCCAATCCACCTGAAAAACCTCATTTTGATGCGTATAGTGGAGATGGATCTGACGAAGGGTGGAGAAAGTGGCTCGAGTAGTAGTTGATGAGCTGTTGCCGTGACCTCTGTAAGAAATAAGGGTGGACCCATGATTAGCAGTAGGCTGTGGAGAATGAAATAGGTTCATGTGAAGTTACTGGGGATAAGGGGTTTAAAGTCTGCTTTTTAAAGTTTTTTCCCCTCATAGCTATGTGTATGAGGGAAAGGATAGTGAGTTTTCTTTTTCTTTTTAGTCACAAAAGGAAAAAGAATATGTTTGTTATTAAAATCTTTTAAAAACAGTATTGCAATGTCGGTTAAATATCTCTTCTCTCCTCTCCTTAATTCTGCTCCCTGAAGGCAGCCACTATTAAAAGCTTGCTTAGTATATCCTCCGTATGCTTAACTGTGTATGCACAGACACAGTTTTGTTGTTTGTTTTATGTCTGCCTTTTACAAACAGGGATTATGCCATACATATTTTGAAATTCTTTTCCCTTTAAACATCATAGACATTATTTCAAGAATTACTTATAAGTATTCAGATTTTTAAAAAATTAACAGATTTTTGCATTTTGGACTTCTAATGTGAGTATGAACTGAGTTATTTTACGAATATATAGTTTCTAACTTAAGAAGGCATAAGGAAGTATACAGAAAAGGGAGAATTGCTAATATGTCCCATTTGCTCTTTAAGAGAAATAGGTATTGTTTTTCTTTTTCCTCTGCATTTTGAAATCTTTTGTAATAAGTACTCTGAAATTTGGATTTGAAAGTGTAGTTGGTTACTTGGTTTTTCTTTCTTTAGATGTATAACAAAGTAAGGACTGGAGAAAGAGTGAAAGTTGAACATGTGGTCACTGTCCTGGAGAAGAAATATCCATATGTGGAAGTGAATAGCATTTTGGGAATTGACTCTGCTTATGATCAGAATCGGAAGGTAAACATTCTCTGGTGTTTCTCATCTGTCTGCAGCACTATGCTTTCCTTACCTCCCCTTATTACTGAAAGTGAAAGTCACTCAGTTGTGTCTGACTCTTTGTGACCCCATGGACTATACAGTCCATGGAATTCTCTAGGCCACAATACTGGAGTGGGTAGCTTGTCCTTTCTCCAGCGGATCTTCCCAACCCAGGAATCGAACCCAGGTCTCCTGCATTGCAGGAGGATTCTTTACCAGCTGACCTATCAGGATTTCTATTAATATAGGTGGTGGTGGTGAAATATTTAGATACCATTTTAAAAATTTAGAAACCAGATCACTTTTTTATCTTTGCAAATATAGTTTATTTTTCAATTTTGTGAATGTATCACTGATCTTTAGCTGGTCTATTAACTATTAAATTGAAAAATAATTTATCTTTATTATGCAGTGGTAGTACTTATGTGATTTATGTTCCAGATAAAAGCTGTTGGATGTATGTGATGTATGCTTGTCAGGGCATGATACATAGCCTAATGTATGTCATGTATTTAATTGTTTAGGCTAAAGGTGGAAATGCAGTAAGAAATGTAATAAACAGAATGGCAAAGTCTGATATTAAAGATATAGGGAAATATTTTAAAATCTTTATTTAAAGATAATAATGAGACATGTAAATACAGTGAAGGACCTTTATTGTAAACAGTAACGTGGTGTTGGTTTAATGGACCGGAACTTGGTGGTCCAGAGTCGACGATGAGAAAGTGAAAGAAGGAAAGAGGCTAATATTCCCTGGGTTAAGCAGCTGGCTTTCACGCTCCAGGGAATCAGCCAGAAATAGAGAGAGAGAGAAAGAAAGACACGGGGACCCGAGCTCTGATGGAGCACAGGTGCTTTAATCAGCGCGGCGCGGGCGTGTATACTGTCTCACACGGTGGTTATTCTCAGCAAAGATAAAGATTAAAGTTCCAGACTTACAAAACACAAGGCGATTCCTATTAAGGAGAGAAGAGGGTACTTATCACCATAATGAGAAACTAACAAAGGAAATGCCTGGATTCCTCAGCCCTGGGAAAGGCAAAAGGCGTGCCTCTCCTCTTAATTCCTGAATATTCAGGAATTAATAAGTGCCAAAGGTTTCCTGACAGATCGAAAACAGCACACAGGAAGCTTCCTGTTAAATGCTTCCTGACAACATGGTGGTTAGTATATTGAAAATAAATGTTAAGGCAAGGAATCAAAATATGTTTCTGAAACAATTTAAAACAGTAAGAGTATATTTATTTACCAACTTTTTTCATTTCTTTGAATAAAACACAAAACATTTGATTCATCTGCTTGGAGATCTGAGCTATCATTTCATTAGAAACTATACTGATAATGAATGCATTGTTTATAATTACTCTTTTATCTGAGTACAGAATCCTAAATTCTATAATTTCCCTCTCAAGTCTTATGCACACCCAGTTCAGCACCAGTTGTTTTTAGCCTTTCACTTTTTTGTTTTTCTCATCATTCAGTTTATTTTCATTTCCTCCCTTCGTCTCATTTAACTTAATATAATTTTATTAAGGTAACATTGATTTATAACATTATATAAGTTTCTTGTGTACAACATTTTATTTCTACTTCTGTATGCCCTACAACTTGGCTCACCAAAAATTTAGTTTCCATCATACAGTTGATCGTATTTAGTCATTTCTTCCCCTCCAGTATCCACTACTTTGTTACATGTTTGTTTTTGTTTGGTTTGTTCATTTATTTTGTTTTGCTTGTTTATTAGATTTTTATCTTTAACATATAAGTGGAATCCTGTGGTATTTGTCCTGTTCCATCTGACTTATTTCACTTAGCTTATTAACTCCAAGGTCCATCCATGTTGTCACAGATGGCAAGATTTCATCTTCTTTTTATGGCTGAGTAGCAGTCTACTCTTGCCTGGAAAATCCCATGGATGGAGGAGCCTGGTAGGCTGCAGTCCATGGGGTCGCTAAGAGTCGGACACGACTGAGCTACTTCACTTTGACTTTTCACTTTCATGCATTGGAGAAGGAAATGGCAACCCACTCCAGTATTCTTGCCTGGAGAATCCCAGGGACGGGGGAGCCTGGTGGGCTGCCATCTATGGGGTTGCACAGAGTCGGACACGACTGAAGTGACTTAGCAACAGAAGCAGCAGTCTATAGTATGTGTGTGTGTATCTCATATCTTTATCCATTCATCTATTGATGGACACTTGCGTCGTTTCTGTTTCTTGGCCATTGTAAACAGTGTCATGATGAGCATAGAAGTGCATATATTTTTTTGCGTTAGTATTTTCATTTTCTTTGGATAAATAACCAGAAGTGGAATTATTGAATCATATGCTAGTTCTAGTCTTAACTTTTCTGAGGAATCTCCATGCTGTTGTTCATAGTGGCTGCACCAGTTTACATTCCGACAGTGCAAGAGGATTCCCTTTACTCCACATCAATTCAGTTCAGTTGCTCAGTCATATCTGACTCTTTACGACCCTGTGGACTGTAGCACACCAGGCATCCCTGTCCATCGCCAACTCCCGGAGTTTACACAAACTCATCTCCATTGAGTCAGTGATGCCATCCAACCATTTTACATACTTACCAGAATTTTTTGTTGTCTGTCTTTTTTACAGTAGTCATTTTGGCAAGTGTGAGGTGATAGCTCACTGTGGTTTTGATTTGTATTCCATGATGATTAGTGATATTGAGCATCTTTTCATGTGCCTGTTGGCCATCTGTATGTCTTTAGAAAAATGTCTATTCAGGTCTCTGCTCATTTTTTAATCAGGTTGTTTTTGTTGTTGGTGGTGGTGTTTTGAGTTGTTTGAGATCTTTATATATATTTTGCATATTAATCTCTTACTGGATATTATTTGCAAATATCTCTCATTTTGTAGGTTGTTTTTTAATTTTAGTGATTTCTTTTTTTTTGTTTTTTTTTTTGCTGTGCAGAAGCTTTTTTCATTTGATATAATTCCATTTGTTTATTTTTACTTCTGTTTTCCTTGCCTGAGTAGGCATATCTAGAAAAATACTGCTAAGACCAATGTTAATGAGCATATTGCCTTTCTTTTTTCTTGGAGTTTTGGGGTTTTAGGGTTTACATTAAAGTTTTTGATTCATTTTGAGTTAATTTTTGTATATGGTGTGAGACAGTGGTCTAGTTTCTTTCTTTCTTTTTTTTGCACGTGGCTGTTCATTTTTCCTAACACCATTTGTTGATGAAACTTATCATTGTTCCATTGTATGTTTTTTGCCCCTTTGTCATAAATTGTCCCTATATATTTGGTTTTGTTTCTGGGCTGTTATTTCTTGTTCCATTGATCTATGTATCTGTTTTCCTGCCAGTGCCATGCTGTTTAGATTGCTATGGCTTTGTAATATAATTGGAAGTTAGGAAGTATGATACCTCCAGCTTTGTTGTTTTTCTCAGGATTGTTTTGGCTATTTAGGGTCTTTTATATTTCTGTATAAATTCAGAATTTTTGTTCTATTTCTATGAAAAATGTTCTTGAGATTTCAATAGGGACTGCATTGCATCTGTAATATAAATTGCCTTAGGTAATACAAATGTTTTAACAGGGTTAATTTTTCCAGTCTGTGAGCATGAAATATCTTTCCATTTATTTGTATCTTCTTCAGTTTTTTCAACAATCTTACAGTTTTCAGTGTGTTACAGTTCATTCACCCACCTGGTTAAATTTGTTCCTAGGTGTTCTATTGTTTTTGTTGTTATTATAAATGTTAATTTCTCTTTGTGCTTAGCATATAGAAATGCAATGTATTTTATATGTTTTTACATCTTATAGTTTTACTGCATTTGTTTATTATCCCTAATAATTTTTTAATGCAATCTTCATAGTTTTTTACACATAAAATCATGTCATTTGCAAATAGTAATGGTTATTGGGCTGGTCAGAAAGTTCCTTTGGTTTTTAAGTAAAAATAAAAACCATGTTATCATTTTCACTGAGAACTTAAACAGCATATTTACCATTTTGTTCCACTACCTTCTGCCATTTTCGAGGCAACTTAATGATTCCATCTTCCCAGAACTTTTTATCGTTTTGAGCAAAGAACTGTTCCAGGTGCCTTTTATAGCCTTTCAGGAAATGGAGACTTTTTTCATTAAGAGAATTTTGTAAAGGCTGATATAAATGGAAATCTGAAGGTGCAATATCTGGAGAATCCAGCAGATGAACCAGAACTTCCCAGTCAAACTACAGTAGTTTTTGCCTGGTCATTAAAGAAACTCGTGGCCTTGCATTATCCTAGTGGAAGATTATGCATTTTCTCTTGACTAATTTTGGATGCTTTTTGTTGACTGCTACTTTCAATTGGTCTAATTGGGAATAGTACTTGTTAGAATTAACTGTTTCGTTTGCTGGAAGGAGCTCATAATAGAAGACTCCCTTCTAATCCCATTGTATATACAATATCACCTTTTTTGGATGAAGACTGGCCTTTGGTGTGGTTGGTGGTGATTCCATGATCTCTTCCATTCCACATTATTGTACAATATCTACTTTTTATCACCTGTCACAATTTGTTTTAAAAGCGGAATGTTTTCATTACAAATAGAGAATCACATGCAGAAATATAGAAAAGAAGGTTTTATTCACTTGTGTGGAACCCAAACATCAAAGTAATTAATGTAACCAAGCTGGTGCAAAATGATTTTCAATGCTTGATTTGGATATTTTTAGTATGTCAGCTATTTCCCTTTCTCAATTTATGTCTTAATTTGATTGCTGTTAGCTTCAACTGGTCTACCCAACTGTGGAGAATTGTCTGGTGAGAAATCTCCAGCACAAAATTTTGCAAACCACTTTTGACACACAGTCATGGCACATTCCACATTCTCTATACACTGCACAAATCTTCTTTTGAGTTTCAGTTGTGTTTTTACCTTTCTGAATAAAGCATAATTACGTCAGAAAGGTTGCTTTATTCCTCCCATCTTCAGTATTAAAGTGGCTATGCAAAAACTCACCAATA